TAGTACACATACATGCTAATTTTCAGATTGTGAAAATATCTTAGTTTAATCCTAAGCTAATCAACTGGTATACACTACAACCAAAATGTTCAATTTTTTATATATGAACATTTAATATTTGATCAACTTTAATAATTTGAATAAAATAATTTTATTCAAATATAAATAATTGAACATTTTATAAATGTTCAACTTTAGTGGTTCGAATACATGACAAACGAAAAAGTCATCTTCTATATGAACAAGATGAATAAAAAAGTAAACTGACATTTTCATTATTGTATTGTTCCAAATCAACAATTTGAGTGTCATTCATGGTGTACAAATCTTCATAACATGTTGATTTCAAAGTTTTTAAAGCTATAAATTTTCAAGGCAATAATGTTTTAAGTTTGAAAATAATACTCCCCTGTTCCAAAATATTAGTCCCTTATTCCATTTTTATTATCTCAAAATATTAGTCTATTTTCAAAAATCAAATACAAAAACAATATAAATTTCCTATTTTGTCTTTTTTTTAAATTCATTAAGAACATAAAAAGTACAATTATGACATTGATATTCTCCAAAAAATGTACTATCAAAGGGTAATTTTGAAAAATCAATTTTTTTGAAGGCAATAATTGTACTACCAAAAAAAGTTTGATTTCTCAAAAGGAACTATTATTTTGGAACAGATGGAGTAATGAAGATTATGTCATTGTACTTTCTTTGATTATCATCAATAAAGATATCTTTTTTGTTGTTTCAAAAAAATAATAATAAATAAATGAAAGGAAAAGAAAATAAATAATAGCAAAGATGACGATTGCAATTTGTTAGATTATAATGATGAAATTGAACAGCATTAGATGAGTGTTGGTAAAGAGATTTGTTTCAAAAGATATAGTGTATAGGTGATAGTGTGTGAAGAGAAATTTGTATTTTTATATGTGAATTACTTGAATGAATACATATACACCTATATTGTCCGTAATAGTCATTTTACTTATAGTGATCCCAGTATTCCCTATTGTTGTTTAACTGTAATCCGGACTCGGTTCCGTAGATTTGTTGTTGTCTTATCCTCATTTCTATCCCTTACTCTTTGTTTTAGAGTTTTGGGTTGTGTTGGGCAAGTTGGGAATAAGTTGGTTGTGTTTTAAAACTTAGAATTTTGCCCAAGTTTTGGTCTATCTGCTCGAACGGCTCGTTGACGCTCGAGCGGGCATTTGTTGTTTCCTCTTCGCTCGAGCGGTAGTTTGGACGCTCGAGCGTGAACTTCCTTCTCTCAGCATTTTGGTCGCCTGCAGAAAATTCTGGGAGGGTGCATCCGGCGCTCGAGCGAATCTTTGGACGCTCGAGCGGGGTGTTGTACGCTTGAGTGGACCTGTTTTATATCAGTCCGTGAAATCACTTTTTAAATCACTTTTCACTTTTCTTTTCTCTCTCTTACTTTTCCAAAATCGATTTTTGAGAGCTCCTCACTCTAAAACCTAACTTCTCTCTAGGGTTTGATCTAGTAGGAGTGTTTTTCTCACCTTGGGCCTTTGTAAAAAGTGTGTTGATCGTCGAGGGCTTCGTTTTGATCCAAGAAATTTAGGATTTGGAGCACTTCCGAGTTTTGCTCTTCTTCTCCTTGGGTTCTACATTTGAGGTAGGGATTTCCTTGTTCTTTTTCAATACTTCGTCTATAGATAGACATGTGGTAGTTTTGTATTGCATGAAAATCATATCCATGTTGGATTTGTTTGAAATCATGAGAAGGAACCTAGGGTTGGTTGTTTGAAAATGGTTATTTTATCATTGATGGTTGTTTTGGGCTAATTGGAGTGTAAATTAGCATGTTATAATTGAAAGAAAAAAAAGCCCTAAATTATATTTTGATTTGGTAAATTAAAATGGAGGGTAGTTAACCTATGTTGTAAATCTCTATTGTTAATGTGAGTTGGGTGAAGGTGTTAATGCCTAAGGGGTTAACTTTGGCTTTGGAATGGTTTTGAAATGAATGTAGTGGGCTAATGTGAGTTATGGCTTTATTATCACCGGAATTGGTTTTGTGGAAACAAAAGGGATGGAGTTGGTTTTGTGAAAACAAAAGGAAATTGAATTTGTTTTGTGAAATGAGAAAAGTATCTTTGATATAAGTATGAAAATTGGATTGTTGTTTCTTGAGTGTTAAATACACACACGTGGGGGTTGTATCTTTAACTACCGTGTTAGTGTTGTTGTTGGGTTTGTGGTCTCATAGTAATTGAGTCTTTAATAGATGTACTAAATACTTGCATCTAGAGGTTTTGTCCTTGGTCATCGGTGGAGGATGACATGGTTGTGTTGAATTGTCGTGTATGCATTATACCATTGTTGATTGAACATTGTATGTGAGGAAGTGCTGAGATACATTGTATATGTATCTGGGGGGGGGGGAAATTAATTATATGTTCATATACTTTAACACATTGCTTGTATCTTGATGGTTCATGTATATGTGTTATACATGTTAGTTATGCCCTGTTGTATTTTGGTTGGTGGTGTTATGCCTTGCACTAAAAATCAGAGGTATCGTGACCTTCCAGCTAGCGCTTGGAGAACTGACTGCGCTGAGAATCTAAGGCACCACGCCCTTCCAGCTAGCGCCTGGTAAACTGGTATGTTGTCGTAAGAGGTGTATCTTTGGCTTACTACGCACAAAGCTGGTAGAGCAAAGTTTTGTTGTTGTTGTTCCATTGTATTTAAGGATATCATGGATTTGGTTGGTTACAGTTTCAGAGGGCCAAGTTACCTCATTGGTTGATTATGCACATGTTAATGAGTTGTTATTTCCCTATAAAGGTATGCATGTATAGTTATGATTGTATTGGGAACGAACCAAAATGTCATTTTGTCATTTGAAAAGTGTGAAGGAGATCGAACATTTTTAAAAAAAAAATATGTTTTGAAAAGGCACATCTGTTGCACGTATGGAAAATGGAAGAGAGTAATGGGCTTAGTGAGATTATTTCCTAAGTAATTGTTAATGTTATGAAAGATTGGGGTTAATGAAAGAAAAAGGAAAGATGAATCGGTTATAGCGTTGAATGAAATGACTGTTTTCGAGAAAGTTCATACGTATGTATATTTTGTATAAACTGTCACATTACTATTCTAATATGAGATTGGGCATTCATGATCATAGCTATCTGTAAGTTGTTATTGTTGAGGGCCATGTTGAGATTCTTACTGGACTATATGTTCATCCCATGTTGTTGAATCTTTTTCTCAGGTGTTGAGCATGATGTGCTACATGGTTTGGATCTTCTTAATTGTTGGCCACGGGGCCTCTTTTATGTTGGCAGAATGCCATATATGTAAAAGGGTTACACCCTTCTTCTTGACTCTTTAATGCTGTAAGCCCAAGGGCAATTTGTTTAGCATGCTCATGTTGTATTTACATTGCATACAAATAAGAGTGTTGTTATTCACTTCTACGAGTTGAATATATGAGTTTATTTCCGCATGTTATCTCTGAAACGGAATTAAGTTAATAAATTTGGTAATACTTCGAGTATTAAAAAGTGGGGCATGACATTACTTGAAGATATTATTATCATATAAATTTAATAGTTAAATAGTGTGTACGGAAAAGATTTACGTTGTGTAAATAGAATCTCCTTTTAAAAATTTAAGATCTAATTTCTTAAAAGAAAGAAATTCAAATATATATAGGAAAAATTACTCATAAATCCCATTTGGAGAAAACTTATTCCATTTAGTCCTAGAAATTTTCTTTCAAACCAATTAGTCCTTTTTATTTTGGGTATATTATATTTCCTTGATTTGGGATTTGAAAGTTTACTTGTTTGCCCTTGTGTGTGATTTTGTTGGAATTTTTTCCGAATATTGGATGTGCGTGGATAAGGTAGGTTTTTACATTTCTATTTTTTTTTGTGAAGATTTAGTGAAGTGATTTGTTTTTTTTTTTGGGGAGGATTTATTAGAGTGATTTGTAAGTGGATGATGTTACCCCATTTGTGGTGTTATTAGTGTGGTGTTCGTTCCTTTTTGTGGTATTCGTCCTTATTGTAACATTGACATTAATTAATATTTAAACGTAACACTAATGTAATACATAAAAAAAAACTCTTTACTATAGTTTTCTCAAACGTAACACCAATATAACACTCCAAAAAAACTCTTTAGTGTAACATTCTAAAGTAACACACAAAAAAATTTCTTATTGTAACACTCCAATGTAACACAAAAAAAAACTCCTTAGTGTATTTTTCCCAAACGTAACACTCTAAAATAACACACAAAAAAAATTCCCTTAATGTAACACTCTAATATAATACGCAAAAATTCCTCAGTGTAACACTTTAATATAACATGCAAAAAAACTTTTTGATGTACTTTTTCTAAATGTAACACTCTAATATAATACTCGAAAAAAATCCTTAGTATAGGACTCTAATGTAACATATAAAAACTCATTAGTATACTCTTTCTAAACGTAACACTTCAAAACACTTTAATGTAGCACACAAAAAAATTCTTTGGTTTACTTTTCCCCAAACATAACGCTCCAATGTAACACAAAATAAAAAACTTCTTAGTGTACTTTTCCTAAACATAACACTCCAATGTAGCACTAAAAAAAAAAAAGAATGTGAGATTCTTCAAACCATTCCAAAAGGACTATAAATATTCCTTAGTAACTTTTGAACAAATGTATAATTTCAAATTGTGAATGTTACGTTTGAAAAAAGTATACTAAAGAATTTTTTTAGTGTTTTTGTGTGTTACATTGGAATATGTTACATTAGAGTGTTATGTTTGGGAAAAGTACACTAAGATTTTTTTTTATTTTTAACATTTGAGCGTTACTTTTGGGAAAAATACGCCAAAGATTTTATTTTTTTTTGTGTTACGTTATTACGTTTGAGAAAAATATACCAGTGAGTTTTTTAATGTGTTACATTGAACAAAATCATAATCACAGGACAGGTAGAAGGCAATTGCTAAGCGATTGTGTCTGCCAACGCATGGGCAGAGGAGGTGGAGCGCAGAGGGCAGAGGGCAGAGGTGGAGGAGGCTGGAAACCAGTGCTAAGGAAGAGATGGAGAGGTGGAGCGCAGAGGGCATCAATCATGAGTGGATTAGTCACGATATTTGTCGATGATATCCCGGAGATGATGAGTCCACAGGGTCTGTTCAAACTTTTCAGCAAGTTTGGTGTGGTAAAAGATGTTTTCATTCCAGCAAAGAGAAGGTTAGTGACGGGTTCAAGATTTGGCTTTGTGCGGTACAACTGTCCTATCTTGGTTGAACTGGCAGTTCAAAAGACCAATGGAGTCTGGTGCGAGGAAACGAGACTGAAAGTGAAGATGGCGGAATACAACAAAATGGTGCAGAGGGAGAAAGGGAAGGAGGAGGTAGGTAAGATGCCTGTGCAGCAGAAATATTTGGGTCTGTAGCCATCTTTGGTACTTGGGAAGGAAAAGTGGCATGAGCAGCCAAGGAAGGAAGGTAGGGGACAAAAATCATACGTTGAAGTAGTAGCAGGAAAAACGGATTTGGGGTCAGATGCTATAACAGTTATGGTCAAAGAAGAAGGAAATGGGTGGTTGGGAGACAGTGTGATTGTGAAGCTTAAAACATTTTTCTCATTCCATGACTTTAAGGAGGAGGTTAATAGAAGAGGAATGAAGGAGGTCCTTGTTCGTGAAGGAAGTGGAAGACTAGCAGTATTTTCAATTAGTTCAGTACGTGCACTTCAGGAGGGGAATGTAAGCTTACAAGATTGGGTGTATGAGTGGTGCGATTCAGTTTCAGAATGGAGAAGTGGATTTTATGAAGATCAGGAGAGATGCGTTTGGATTTACTGTTTTGGTGTTCCATTAAATTTATGGAATGTGAATACATTCAAAAGTATTGGCAGAGTATGGGGTGAAGTTGTGCATCTAGATGATGACACCACAAGGACGAACTCTTTCCAGTATGGGAGAGTTAGAGTGGTTACAAAGTCCATGGAGAATATTAACAAAGTCATATATCTGGGTTGCGATGGAAGCTTGGTTCCAGTGAGGGTTTGTGAGGCAATGGAAATTCCAATGCCTGACCTGAGTTGCAGTAGTATTAGCATAAACACTAAGAAGGACACCACTGAGGAGGTGGACCAGTTTTCCAGCAACGGAGTCTTTCGGAGAGGAGGTTGTTCGGGGGGGGAGGCAAGGGTGTACGGCGAAGTGGGTGTGGCAGAACAGGTGGCCTGCGAGGTGGAGAAGAGCATTGGGGATCTGAATGATGAAGGAGAATGTAATGATAGTATGTTGGAATCAGTGGTAAAGAATACTGACATGGAGTTGGGAGTTCCAACGGCTGGTGGCTGCAGTAAAGAGCTGGAAGTGGAGGGGGGCCAAATTCATGGGTGGAAAAGAGGGGCAGTATGCGCGGGCTAGATGATACAGTTGTAACTAAAGGCTTCTTAAAAAGTATTAGTGGGCCTGATGAGGAGAGGCCCAGTATCAATTTAGAGGTAGTGCTTACTGGGGCCCAAAGGAGGGTTTCGTTGGAACAGGAAGTATGCAGTCCAGTTGTTGGGCATTATGGGCCAGGTACTACATAGTTGGTGCCAGATAGAAAGAGTAAAGGTATAGTTTCTAGAAGGAGAAATAAGGAAGCATAGAGCCGAGGGAGGCTGATGCGAAGCAGCTTATGCATAGAAAGATGAACCAGAGGGGCAAGGTGCATTCGAGCTATTTTTCCAGAGGGGCTATATGTAGAGCTGCAGCTATTACAGCTTCATTATCAGTACCTCAGTCGAGTGGTCCCAGTAGAAGAGCTACGTTGTTGAAGGAAGCTCGCGAGATGGTTAAATTGGGTAAGTTGTTGGGGATGAATTGTAAAGGGAAGAAGGAGAAAGTTGTGAATCGGATTGTGGAAATGAAGCTACAAGATAAGGAAAAGATGGGAGGAGGGCTGCTAGTAGCCCCAGTTTAAGACGGGTGAAAAGGAGGTCTCAAGAGTAGTCTTAAGTTTCTTAATGAAGATCACGTCATGGAATGTAAAAGGGTTGGGAAGGAAAGATAAAAGGGGAAAAGTTTTAAAGTTGGTTAAGGATAAGAAGTTAGATATGCTACTGCTTCAAGAAACAAAGAAATCCAATGTGGATGACTTGCTGGTGAAGTCCTTGTGGCCCTTTGATTTTTTGCAGTTTTTGATAGTGGACTCGGTGGGTAGTGCAGGGAGCCTGCTATGTGTGTGGAATCCGGGGGTCTTCCAGATGTCAGAGTGTTGTAGCTCGAGGAATTTCTTACTTCTATCCGGTATTGTTAAGCAATCTTTTGAGTGTGTAATTGTTAACATTTATGCTCCGAATAATTTGAGGAGTAGGGGTCAGTTATGGGAAGCATTGGGAAGGTTAAAGTCATCTTTTCACAAGCCTTGGTGTATTGGAGGGGACTTTAATGAAATTTGTTTTTCGAGTGAAAGAAGGGGTTATTTGAGAAGGGACAAAGGAATGGTTGAATTTAATGAGTTTATTGATCGTATGGAATTAGTAGATCTGCCTTTGTTATGGAGAGGTTTTACGTGGTGTAATTCAGTGGAAGGAGATGGAGTAGAATAGATAGGTTTTTAGTAGATCCCTTGTGGATGGAGAAGTTTAGCCTCAAGCAGTGGGGCCTTCCAAGGAGTTTTTCTTATCACTGTCCATTGGTGCTGATGGAGGAAGCAAGAGACTGGGGTCCTAGACCCTTTAGGTTTCTAAATGCATGGAGTTTGCATCCTACTTTTATGGCTTTGGTAAAGAAATCCTGGACAGAGGCTGAGACTTACGGTTGGGCTGGCTTTAGACTGAAAAATAGATTAGCATCCTTGAAGATGGCATTAAAGAAATGGAATGAGGAGGTCTTCGGAAATGTTGATCTTCAGTTAAAATCCGCTGAGGAGGAGCTCCATGAGATTGACTTAAAAGCTGAAGTTGGGCCACTTCTGGACTCTGAAATTGGTAGGAGAAGAGAGTTAAGAAGTTTAGTATGGAAACTGAACAGAGATTGGGTTGGATCTGGCAACAGAAGTCTAGAGTTAAATGGGCTCAAGATGGGGATAAAAATATGAGATTCTTTCATGTGATGGTTAAAAGGAGACAAGGTAAGAATTTGATTGATATAGTTATTCAAAATGGGGAAGTTATTGGGGAACCAAAGAGGGTGAAACAAGTAGTGGTAGGGCATTTTAGAAAATTGTATTCCGAGCAGTGGAAAAGTAGACCAAAGTTGGATGGCCCTTTTATTACCATTGGGGACGTTGAGGCAAAGAGGGATTTAGAAACAGAGTTTACATCAGAAAAAGTGTGGGCAGCTGTGAAGGACTGTGATGGGAATAAAGCTCCACGGCCTGATGGTTTCAACCTTTTCTGCATTCAAAAGAGTTGGGAGGTGATGAGTAGTGAAATCCTCCAGTTCATACATGAGTTCCATAACAATGGTAAGTTGGCCAAAGGGCTTAATAGTTCATTTATAACATTGATTCCTAAGAAGGACAGTCCGGTAGATTTGGTGGATTACAGACCAATTAGTTTGGTGGGGTCAATCTACAAAATTCTATCTAAAGTTCTATCTAGGAGAATTAAGAAGGTTTTGGTTAGACTGGTTAGTGAGGTTCAGACTGCATTTATTGGAGGAAGGTGTATTCTAGATGGAGTTTTGACTGCCAATGAGATCATTGAGTGGTGGAAATCAACAAAGCAAAAAGGGGTGCTACTTAAGCTCAACTCTGAGAAGGCGTATGATTCGGTCAATTAGGAGTTCTTGCTTTCAATGGTGTCTAATTTTGGTTTTGGAGAGAAATGGTTAGAGTGGATTAAGGAATGCTTATCCTCATCTAGAATATCAGTTTTGGTGAATGGGTCACCCACTGAAGAGTTTTCACCGCAAAGAGGGTTAAGACAAGGTGACCCACTCCCACCTTTCCTATTTAATTTTGGTGGCTGAGGGGTTAAATATGCTTCTAAATAGAGCCAAGATGTTGGGGTTGGTTAAAGGAGCTTTGGTTGGATCCACTGGCATGAGCATCTCACATTTGCAGTTTGTGGACAATACTATAATTTTCTGCGAGGCAGATTTAAAGGAGTTGATATTGATTAAAAGGATATTAAGGTGTTTCGAAGTGATGTCCGGATTAAAGACAAACTTTCATAAAAGTGTAGTGTGTGCATCTCTGATTTTGAGGTGCATGATTTTGCAGGGGAATTGAATTGCCAAAGTAAGAAGCTGCCTATTTTGTATTTGGGCTTACCCTTAGGAGCCAATCCTAGGAGGAAGGCCACTTGGCAGTCTGTGGTTGATAAAGTTAGGTTGAGGCTGTCTCTTTGGAAGAGGAAGCTGTTGTCTTTTGCAGGTCGTCTGACTTTGATTAAGTCAGTAGTTGCCTGTCTACCGTCATATTATATTTCTATATTTAAGATGCCTAAGGGTATAGCGAAGACAATTGATAAGTTACAGGTTATGTTTCTCTAGGGAAACAGTGAGGTTAAGAGGAAAGTGCATTTGGTGAGGTGGCAGGAGCTTATTAAGCCTAAGAAGCAAGGTGGGTTAGGGGTCAGAAGGTTAAGTGAGTTGAACATTTGCTTATTACTAAAATGGTGGTGACGTTATGGTGTTGAAGACAAAGCCTTGTGGAGGGCTGTGATCTGTAGTAAGTATGGGCAATATGATGGTGGGTGGTGGCCTGCTGTTGGTGAAACAGGTAATTTATCTCCAATTTGGCAGGGTATTCTAAGCATTGCACGGATTATCCTCAGGTGCTTGATTTCTATTTGGAGAACGCAAAGATAAGGGTCTGGAATAGAGCAAGAATCCACTTCTGGACTGATAATTGGTGGAATAGCTGTAGGCTCAGTGAGAAGTTTGCAAGATTGTTTAGTTTATTTATCGCAAAAGAAGGCTCTTTGATGCAATACACTTTCAGTAGGGATAGGACCGGGGAATGAAACCTGGTATTTAGAAGAGGGTTGCATGTATGGGAAGAAGTGGAGGCTAACAGGCTATGTGAGTGGCTGAGTGCAACTCCTATAAACAGGGGAGCTATGGATGACTGTTTGAGGTGGGAGATTGATCCATCAGGTCAGTTTTCAGTGGCATCAGTTTGGAAATGGATGCAAGTAGATAAGGGACCGAAGCTGCCTGTAACAACTGAGCTGTGGCAAAATGTAGCCCCTCCGAAAATTCAATTTTTCGGATGGTTAGTGTGGAAGGGAAGGGTGAAAACATTAGAATTCCTGCAGAGAATGGGGGTGCTGGGTGCAAACACTAGCACACTGTGTGTATTCTGCCAAAAGGAATCTGAGAGTGCAAATCATGTTTTATTGCACTGCTCATTGGTTTGGAGAGTCTGGTCTCGAATTATAAGCTGGTGGGATATGTGGTGGGTAATCCCTGGGTCTATTGAGGACTTGTTGCATTGGTGGGTTGGTGCTTCGATTAAGAAAAAAAAGGTGGAAGTGTGGAAAATTGTGCCTTTAGTCTTGTTGTGGTCGATTTGGAGGTTAAGGAATGATGTTTTGTTTAATGATGCTCATCCTAATTTTGCTGATTTGGATGATTTGGTGAAGACAAGGGTAGCGTTTTTGGCCAAGAGTAGGATACCAGGTATGAACTACACTGTGCATGATATTGTGCATAATCTTCATCAGGTTAGGCATTGTTTGAGGTGAAGGGAGCACAAATATCTGGGCAGCAATTGTGCATACTTTGAGGTTGAAGCTTAGCAGTCTGCTAATCTGCTAATCTGGTTGCTGTGAAGTTTGTATCAGAATTGGAGGTTGAAGATTCAGGTCAAGCCTTGGTGAAGTTATGGCCTTCAGGTGAGGAATGCTGCTGGTTTTTCTGGGCTTCACTTTCTGCTGCTGGTTCAAAGCTTCTACTGTAGATGGTGATCTGTTTGGTTGTTTTGGGGTGGGGTGGTTTTTCGTGTTTGCGGTTGGTTTCTCACCAACTCGTGCTTATATTTTTTGCTCCTATCCTCCACCTTCTGAAATGAAGCTGCCACCCACCTGAGGCACTAATCTTTGTATTGAGCTGTTGTAAAGAATCCTCCTTCTATGTGAATAAACAAAACAATCTAGGAAATCCATCCTTCAAGCCTCTACCACCTAACCAAGGATCATGCTAAAACTTTATCCTCCTCTCATTGCCAACTTTTATTTTAATCTGTTCGCCAAAAAATTCACCAATTAGCTAATTAACCATAGAAAGTTATGAGATATCCTTCCAAACCAATGAGACCCCTATTGTCTAATTCAATAAAGGTGACCATCCCCCACCAATTTTACCATACCTTTCCACAGAGCTTTATCTTCACTGCCATACCTCTGCCACCACTTTGGCAACAAGCATTCATTTACCACACCTAAGTCCCTAACTCCCAAGCCTCCATGATTCTTATCTTTTGTGACCTCCATCCACATAACCATGTGCACTTTTTTGCTGGCAGCAGAACTCCCCATAGAAAATTGGCTAGAATCTTAAAACTAGATTTTACAACCCCCTTTGGCATTTTAAAGATTGACAAAAAGTAGATAGGAAAATTAGACAAGGCTGATTTGATCAAAGTCAGTCTACCAGCATAAGACAACAGTCTCCTTTTCCAAGATGAGAGCTTCTTCTGAAATTTCGCCACTACTGGAGCCTAAGTGCTCTTTCTACTAGGATTGGCCCTTAAAGGCAAGCCTAAAAAATTAATAGGCAATTTATTAGGCAGACAATTCAACACCTTAACAAACTCTTTAGTCTGGTCTTCATGATAACCCACCCCACAAACCACACTTTTGTAGAAGTTTATTCTTAAACCAGAGATCACCTCAAAGCACCTCAAAACTCTTTTAATATTCAAGACTTCCTCCATGCATCCTTTACAAAAAATGATGGTATCATTTGCAAATTGAAGATGAGATATGCTAGCTGATCAGAGCCTACTGATGCTCCCTTAAGCAGGCCCTTCTCGATAGCCCTACCCGACAAAAGATTAAGTCCTTCAGCTACTATAATGAACAAAAATGGAGAAAGAGGGTCACCTTGCCTTAATCCCTTTTATGGTTGAAACTCCTCCGTGGATGAACCATTAACTAATATAGACACCATAGTTGTTGTAATACAAGTCTTCATCCACCTAATCCACCTAGCCCCAAAGCCAAAACTACCCAACATTGATAGCAAAAATTCCCAACTTAATGAATCATAGGCTTTCTCGAAATCCAGCTTCAAGATAATGCCCTTCTTCCTAGCTTTGTGCCACCCATCTACAACTTCTTTGACAATCAATACTCCATCTAAAATATGCACTTACAAATGCAGACTGCACCGCACTAGTCACGGCTGAGAGAAGCTGCTTCATTCTTTTAGACAACACCTTGGCCAAGATCTTGTAGATGGAGTTGACCAAGCTAATTGGCCTATAATCTCCCAATCTTGAAGGACTATCCCTCTTAGGAATAAGTACAACGAAGGAGCTATTGATCCCAGATAATAGCTTAGCATTTGTGTGAAATTCATGAAACATTTGAACAATGTCACTTTTCATGATAGGCCAACACTTTTTTATGCATGCCAAATTAAAACCATCCGGATC